CAACCGTCGGAGGAAGGTCATGCCACGCACCTACTACCCGAAATNGATTTCGAATGTACCGCGCGTTAGTGGTTCGATCAGTAGTTCGTACCTCGTTGCTCGTATCATCCTTAGCGGCCAGAGAAAGGACTCGCATAAAAATCGTCTAGCAGTGGCTTGAGGTGGGTGCACGATGCTGCCTCAACCGTCGGGGGAAGGGTATTCCACGCACCAACTATCTTAAATGAGAAAATTTTTTGCCTAATGAATGTGTGCGCTCTGAGCTTGAAAATCTTCTTACCATGCCCCCACCGTGTGTTTGCTGGGTCAACGGTGAAGAACCTGTTGTCCGAGCTTTGTTCAAACAGAGCATGAGTAAGAATTAGGTTCTGTCGGAGGCGACGACAGAGGGTTATCAGCTTGTCTCATTGAACAGGGGCGAGATGGCTCAAGTGGCTAGAGCGCGAATTTACTGACAGGAAGGTCCGTGCTCCGAACCCGACCTCTGCCCCTCGACTTCCCCTGTCTAGGCTTGGACAACCTGGCAGTATCCCAGCCTTCATGCAACCTTCGGGTGGCATGGCGGTGAGGCACCGAAAGGGTGCTACGGCTGAACGTACGATCGCGAGGCGGGTATCGTAGTCCACGAACTTGAGGCCGGCGACCATTTTCGTAGCGGCTGGCTGGACGCGCTCAATGAGGGTGACGTCTTTCGTGTGTCCTGAGTAGACAACGTGGTTGACGTATTCCAGGAGCGGTCTGACGTAGGCCCCATAGAGTATTTGGATATCCATGCGAGTAATACGGGAGAGGTTGCGTCGGATCATCCGTAAAATGGCGAATGCCTATAGGGCTGATTTCTCATGGTGCAGTGAGAAGGACAAGTTTGAGGAGACGCAGATGCGCAAATCATTTTTGGCGTCTATTCTCGTGATGTTTCCTGGTCCTTTCTCACCATGCATAACAAAGGCATTCGCTGAGTCTCCTCCAAATGACATATAGACGTACTTTTCGTCATTCAGAGGAAGGTGCCAGTCCCACGACCACTGCTTTGCAGCGTCTACATCCATTTGCAGGGCACTGGCATTGGAAATCCAGGATTTCAAGTCGTCCGCAAAATGTAGACGTGGACTCGCAAGAACATCTGGAAGGTCGTTGACGTAGATCAGAAGCAGCACTGGTCCCAGGATGGAGCCTTGAGGAACTCCAATGGAGACCGGCGCTGGAGAGGAATAGGTCGAGCCTATTCTCACTCGGAATGATCTGTCTGATAGGAACGCCTTGATCCAGCGAAGGATTTTCCCTTGAATCCCGTAAGACTCGAGTTTGTGGAGCAGCGGGACGTGTGAGACCCTATCAAATGCTTTTGAGAAGTCGAAAAATATGGCATCCGATATGAGTCCTTCGTCCTTTCTTGGGTTAAGCTGTCCATGAACACGAGCATGTTTGTCACGCAAGAACGGTTTGGAAGAAATCCGTCTTGAGCTGGAGATATCAGATTGCTGGAAGTAAGGTGATCTAGGATGGCTCGCTTCAGAATGCGTTCACTCACCTTTCATGGCACGCTAGTGAGGCTTATAGGTAGCTGGCTGCCAGGCGACAGTCGGTCACCAGTTTTGTAGATTGGCGTGACAATCGCCGGACGGTCTGTATTCAGCTCTTTTGAAAGTGGAGAATCACAGTTTTGTAGATTGGCGTGACAATCGCCGGACGGTCTGTATTCAGCTCTTTTGAAAGAAGGTGGAGAATCTCGGTGACCCATCTGGCGAAACTCATTGTTCTGTTTGAACTGGATAGAATATGTCTGGAAAAATGGAACACATCGAAATTCGTCCTTATCTTCATAGATTGCCATCCTAGACTTGAAAGTTGTTTGACTCTGTGAACCGTCAGGAACCATAGGAATGTTTCTGGACCAAACGTATCATCTCATGGTTGCAGATGAGCCCATTGAGATAGCAGAAGGTTCGTCTATTAGAGCAGCTGTATCGGTCCCGGCGATCCCGAAAAATCGTTCATCTGTAGCACCCTTCTGGTGCCTACCTGCCATGCCACCAGAAAGATGCACGAGATCTGGGATACTGCCAGTTTGCCCAAGCTTAGATAAGAGAAGTCGAGAGGCAGAAGTCCCGTTCGAACCATGGACTTTCTGGTCGGTAGATTTGCGGTCTTCGCAGATGTAGCTCAATGGGGTGCGTGGATCCCAAACTTTACCTTTAACGCACAGCTTTTGCCCGATTTCCTCAGTGAATGTTCACTGTCATTCCTGTATCCATATGTTAGTTATGCCAGCTACTGCTTTGGTTGCTTAGCCACTTATCTCTATCTTTCGAAGTCATTAGCGGCAGCTGTCAACACTGTACAACTATGCGGTTTACAGCCGAAGGAATTGGTCACTGACTCCAGTGCTCGTCCTTGAGTCCAATGTGTTCCAGAATATATCTTCAGTACCATTATAATAATTGGAGACAACACCACAAGTGTTGACACTGATACTTTGCTGCCGTACAACCACAGTTTATTCAATCGTACTTAACGTGAAAAGAAAAAGATGGGTGGGGGATTGACATGGTACTGGTCTGTTCCAAGCATTCTAAGGTGCCTGCTTCTCCAAGTGCTCAGTCAGATAATCTGAGAAGCTGACCGCACGAACGCCATTTACATCGATTAGCCGCCATTTCTTGCAGCGCCTGCAGCCAAGTGGAGGGAGGGGCTCGCAAAGACCCTAGCCTGGAAGGCGCCAACTTGGGCTCGTCATATTTTTTTCACACTCGTCTGCCAAGTCACACGTTGTCCACCTCGCAGTTGGCGCCATTCCGAAAGCGGCACGGTTAACACTTGTTTCGGCAGACGATGTTTCGGCATGTGTAGCCCGGTCGAACGGCAACACTACCAGTGTCTTCCCTCGGTGATGGCAAACGTTGTTGTGGTCGGGAAGGAAATAAGTGGACTCAATGGGTGGTGATAAACGCCCTCTGCAGAGAAAACCAAGGCATTGCGTGTCATTAAGTAGACTCTTCTGGCACGCTGATTTTCTGCAAAGCCACACCATGTGAGCTAATGTGAGTGACTCCAGATCACTGGTGTCTTACAGGACTGTTTCCTCTCTCAGAACTTATTCGTCTAGTTGTTTAGACGACTTGTTCAATCTATCCCGTTCTCGAAATTTGGTGGATGATTCCGAAAGAGCCAGCCAGACCTGCTGTAATTGCCCATTAATCCAGACTCTTCCAATTGGTGTTTCTTCGTCCATCGGTAATTTTATGCTCTGCAACGATACTCGAAGGAAAAACCTTGCGAACCATGTACGATGAAACTTCCCCCGTTTCATCTTGGATTACGCTGCTCAGGCGCAGAGGTCCTCTCTGTTAGGAGGCACTCCTAACGGACATATTGCTCAACATTTCTCTCTCTCTGTTTCAGCCTTTCATTGGACTGTTTTGTTCCATTCCATTCTTGATTCTTCGAATCTCGATATTGGCTGTTCAGTTGCTGCAGTATAATTTCCTCAAAGCTTTTTATCTTCTCAGTTTCGTGTGTAACTGACAAGGTTGATTGACTGATTAGTAGAGAACATAACACTCTCTCACCCTCAGTTGGCCATGATTGGTTCGAGCATATCTGCAGAAAACCATCGGACCCCTCTCACCCTTTCTAGAGAACAGACGCTCACGCTTCTTTTCGGAGAATTAGATACTCCAGAGGCTCTTCTGCGTTCATTTCGGTTGGGTATATCTCCGATTGCCACCGATTGTGCATGCAGTGCAACCGCGCTGTTCGCTGCCTCCGTGTGGTGTCTTCAGTCCGCGAAATTTGGCTTATCTATAGTTTCGCATTATTTAGTTAAACATACCGAAACGTCTTTTTCATAAAGGAAACTACTCACAAGGTTGCTGAAAACTCTTCGACAGCCTTTTCTTGAAGGAAACTACTCACAAGGTTGCGGAAAACTCTTCAACAGCTCACGACCGGTTTCGTCTTTCTTGGGGCTCATCAGCTGGGCGCAGTCCCCGAGTTTCCATTAACCTTCTATTGTAGAATATTATAAACGAGAGATTCAGTTGAGTCTCTCGTGAAAACCAAATTGATCTGCAAATGAGTGTATTTCTCGAATACTGATAGGTTAATTTTAATGGATTTGATGTAGGTTAAGCTTGTACACAATTCTCCGATAGCTAGCTGTAGTAACCTTGCGGTACTCTCCGACCCATTCAGGCCTTAGTGGTGCCCAGTTGCAAGGGAGCCGAACCTACTTGCAGTTTGATAATTTTTCCTCACTCACTTATGCACCACAAGCTTCAAAACCTCGTTTTTCGTTTGACATATGCAAATCATAAATCATTCAGCTGTAGTACCTTTTCGGTGCCTAAATGCCATGCCACCAGAAAAAAGCACGAAGGGTGGGATACTGCCACGTTACCCAAACCTTGACAAGAGAAGTGGAGAGGCAGAGGTCGGGTTCGAACCACGAAGCATCCAGTCATTAGATTTGCGCTCTAACCACTGAGCTAACTATCTTGACATATTTGGCCTTATTATTAGGGATAGCACTTCTCACGGAGCCTTAATTAGCTAGACCGAGTTCTTGTCCTTAGTCCGATCTTGCGCCACCCCATCCGAGTTATATTGAATACTCAGAAAGGATCTTTTTACTCATCAAGTTCGGAATAGCTCAAACCAGGAATTGGATGGTGTGGCCCATTGAGAGGAAATGAAAGTTATTGTGCAAAGTTTGCTTTTTCATGGTGTCGTTCGAATTTAAAGGCTCAGTTAAGATAATCGTCCTTGTGCGTCACTGAGGTTGCTGCCACCCCCACTTTCTACTCAGGTTCACCGAGTGGATGTTTTTAGGTGTAGCACCGTGTGTTTATAGTAGGCAGGCAGTGTACGCTCCCCTCTACTCTATTTCGTTCTTCGCTCCATCGTACGTCTTCAGTTAAATAAAATGACTTACCATTGTTTTTACGCTGGCGTCACAGTGATTGATCTTGATGATGTTGCTTATCCCATTTTCCTTTTAGACTCGTCTTCTATACGGCTTATGCTTGTCGCCCAAGTAATTCAAATCCGCGTTGTCCTTGCTGGACAATAAGCATGAATCGACTATTCCGCTCAGAGGTTCTACAGCGTGATCAACTTTATCGACTGCTGGACCACAGATACAAGTCTACCGGTGTTTCCTTTGTCGAGCCCATATTCCAACCCTTTTGGCGGTGGACTGCCAAGCATGTACCCCTCACTGTTGCACCAAACACCCTAACTTTGACCGGACTGATTTCAAATGTCATCCCAATTTTGCTACTTTTATACTATAGTCCAAATTTCAAAGATGAGGTACTCATTCTTTGTCTATCATCCAACCAGGAACTTTTAGATTCCAGCTTTTCCCATCCTCCTTTTCGCCTTTGGTATATTCATCTACATGACACTCGATGCTCTCGATGGCCTCCATGCTCGACGTACTAACACCTGTTCTCACCTTGGGGAAATGTTTGACCACGGCTGTGACGCCATTTCCATGTGTAAGTGCTTATCGTGCCACGTGAAACCATTCCCCTTTCAGATCTACTGCCCCTAGCCTATTTCGCAATCATTGGCTTGGGCGATAGTCCCACAGCGATGTTCATTGAGTTTTTCATCTTGAACTCTATGTTCTACACGTACCAGTGGCAATCGTTTGTTAGCGGTTGTATGTCCTTTGACAGGTTGGTGCATTGTTTCCCATCTCCAGAATTCATTTATCTTCGTAGTTTTAGCGTGTCGGAATCAATTATGTTCGCCATAGTGTTTTCAATATTGTCAGCCATATTTGGAGTTGACATGTGGCGTTTAAAGGTGAGTGGTGATACTTTTGGCTGTTGTTATTTCTATTCCGCTGTTTGGTTTACCGGTAAACAGGTGTATTGAGATAGGCCATGAATGGCCTGTCTTCGGGTATCGTTTTCTGTCTACAGAACGCTTTTTCTGGCACTTCAACCGTCGCCCACTTAGCTGCATTCCCAAGGGCGGAGAGTTTAGGCGAGTGACCACATTAGATGCCTCAGCCCTCGTTCTCCACTAACTTCAATCTCGACCACCATCACATACTTCGGATCGTGCACCAATCGATTTAACCATATTTTGGACTCTGCGTCAAACTGCTCACCATTTGAAAGGCATCAGTTGTTTAGTTGCTTTTACTGTAACTTCAGGTATGCTCACACTAAGCTTCCATAATTCATCCTGATCTCAACGCTTCCAAACCTACAGGGTTCTTATGTGGAGTTTAGTCCCAAGTTCACGAAACAAACCACCTCTCTAATAAGACATAAAGTAACTACTCGCTCCGCTCCCTCTCGTTCCTCAGTTACATTTTGCAACTTCCGCCACCTGAAACTTTGTCTTAGTAGTTCTTCTAAGTAGGATATAAATTTACGGAATCAGTGACTCAACTCATTTACAGTCTCAGAGCCACTTTCTATTTGGTTGTCTTCGGTGTGGGGTTTGTGTTCACACTCTCCCATTATCTGTCACCTGCCAATCCTCTCGACTCACCCATATCAAGTCTTCAGTGGTTTCGGTTGAGATCAACCCCCCCTCCCGTTTGCACTTTTACCGCTCTCCTAGTAGGGAGCAGGAAAGAAACACGAGGGCTATGATAATGCTAGATTGCCCAAGCCTAGATAGAAGTCAAGATTCAAAGAGCGGGTCGAATCCCGGGCCTTCCGGTCGGTAACTTCGCACTTTAACTACCAAGCCATCCCGCTCTCACCGCTCTCCTAATAGCAGTAATTTGTTCGCATTTGTGCCTTTTTTGAATACTAACTGTAAACAAGTGAGCATTGTTAGCGATTCCAGTTATCACATCTTCAAGTAGTCTGCTTTTTCAGCCTTCACACTGACAGCGGAACGATATGTTTTTAACCTATCTCTCTTTCCACGGTCTACCCACGACCATTGAGTCGTGGACCTTCGTGTCATCAACCCTATTACCTAGTCTCCCTCTTATACATAACAAGGATTATATGACGATTATTTGTTCACATTCCATTCCGCCCAGTCGGTCTACTCCGCTAATTGTTTTCTGTTGCTGTTCTTCTGTCAATCAGACAAGCATGCATCTATTCATTTCATCCTATTTCTCATGGGATTCACCAGCTTTGGCCAAGAATTTCGCGGTTGTACCTCGGTGGCACGCACTAATTTGTTCGCCACTTCTCCAAACCCTTTATCTTTCCGCTAGTGCTGTGGTCTGGAAGAGTCGTTTGCGCGAACGTCGGAAAAATGGTCTTTATCTGTCCAGGATGAGTACGCGAATAATATCAACTGAAATGCTGTCACTACGTAGGACGAATTCATCGGTCGCAAGTCCACTGGACTGTGGAACGTGCGTACCAGAAGATTTCCTTTTCCTGGTCCTGACATCCTTTGTGTCAGTGTACTTTCTTCTAATCTTTTTCTGCGGGTCGAGGTGGCTCAGTGGTCAAGGAAGCGAATTTACTGACTGGAAGGCGCTTGATTCGAACCCGATCTTTGCATCTCGATTTCCTCTGTTTAAGAACCATGTGATGAAAACTCTGAGTTTTGTTGATGCTGTTCATCTTTCCTAATGAGGTCCACGTGACCTATCCTGCGCTTGGCTGGAGACACTGAATATATGGCAGTTAAGGGATGGCGTTCTTGCTGCCAGTTCCCATGTGAGGTGTCTGACAGTGTTGAATATCCAGATGCTTTGAGTGTTTGAAGTAGACTAACGCTATTTCCTACGCTGCCCCATTTTCCTCTTTTCCGTTATGGATCGTTTCAAGTAAAATTGACTTGATTGTTCCAGTGTGCTCCGTCAGTGGTGTAGTTCTTTGGCGGACTGGACCGAACCACAGAAGCTTCTGTGTTATGAGGACCAATTTTCCCCAGTAGAACAAACGTTCCCGGTATTTCTTACGTCTGTTTCATCTGGAAGGAGAAGTTGTTGCGACCAGAGTCCATTTCCGCTTGGTTTACTGTTATTGTCCCTTCTAACGAAGAAAGTTGACGGCGAACTACGAAACTCGAGTCTGGAAGTGAGCTGGCCATCTGTGGTATCAATTTCGCATATTTTTCCAGTCTAAAAAGTCCTTTTCCCATTCCACAGCTTGTTCCTCCAACTTGTGATAGTTGTCCGTTTTCATTCTCTCCGCCTGTTCACTTGCGTATTGCGTTTCTTTGCTCTACCCCGTTAAGGACCCTCTTTTTGGACTGCAGTTGAATCGACTTCAATTTCTAATAGTCGTACTTGGCTCAATCGTGCTATTTTCTCGAGCTGGCCAGTCCATTGCAGTGGACGGTAGCGGCAAGTACGGCACCACAGTCGCGGTATGTTTCATCTTGTCCATCGTTGTTACGGTTTTTTCGTTGTAGACTTGTGTGTGTGTGTGCGTGTGAACAAGGCCAAGCTACACAAAGTTGCAACTCTGGGTTACTGTATTTGTTGCTCGGATGTCTTAGGTCGACTGGTTCGTCGTTACTGACAGCGACAGTAGTGTTTCCATGTTGCAAATTTAGGATTACCCGCCGAAGACAAGCCAAGCAAAGGCTGTTGATTCATACGAGTGGTCCACCCTAACCACTGAGAGGAGTTTGCTTTTGTCCATAATTAGTCCGGCAGTTGACAACGGTCCGGTTGCAAATTGTATCGTCTCCAGCCAAGCTTGGAGTCTACGAGGATCGTCATCAGACCTCACAGACGTATGTCTATAGCGGTTGAACGATTACACCGTGTTTACGGGGCTCAGTAATGTGGTTTGTCTCGTATACTGAGCTGCGTGACCGTCTATCTTCCTGGAATTGACGATGCTAACATCCACTTCTTGTCAGACCTTACCATTCAACAGTTCGTAGAACCCAGCTTCCTAAAACGAATCGACTTGGATTGTTGCTTCTCTGTGTTAACTTTGCGCAGGCTGGATTCAGTGTACTTATCCGCGAGAGGAATTTCTGTCTTTATGGTATTTACTTACAATCCAGTCGACGGATGTAATTAAATATAGGCTGCATCTCTCCTCAGGACGATGGCGTTGTCGGTGTATTCAGGCTACGTAGCCCACATGACACAGCTCACCTGTACTTCCTAGGACTTACACGATTGGGGCGAGATGGCTCAAGTGGTTAGAGCGGAAGGTCTGTGGTTCGAACCCGACCTCTGCCGGTCGACTTCCCCGTCTAGGCCTGGGCAACCTGGCAGTATCCTAGCCCTCGTGCTTTCTTCGGGCAGCATGGCAGCTAGGCACCGGAAAGGTGTTACAGCTGAGAGTTTTTTTCACACGATTGTCCATTCCTCAGCGAATTTGAAAAGTTTGTGAAAGCTGAGACTTTGCCAAACACCAGAGGCTACAGCAACTTGTGTTGTCTGTTGCTCATGGATTCGAATTATAGACTCCGATGAAATTTGGCAACTAATCTGACTGGCCTAGAACTTTCAGGTTGCGCCATGGGCAGCACTATCCATTGAATAGGTCAGATGTCACACAGAACTCAGTAAAGCAAGCACTGTTTGGTTGTTGGAACGTGTCATAATGTGTACGTGATTAGCGCAACCTTTTCTGACGTGGTCTACTATGAGACTGCCTTGTTCCTCTGATGTGGCCTCATATCTCTCAGACCGATATCCCACAGTTCCGGCATGATGCCACGTCATGTGACGATGGTATAGAGGTACTGGAATCCAATGCGGTATCCCATAATCACCGGAACAGGATTTGTTGATTACGACTGCGAGATCGCTTTCATCTGGAGGTCCACTAATTCACCGTGGTTTATTGCGCCGCAATCAGCGTGTTTTTAGGGGTAGCGTGGCATCTCATAGTAGTTAGCTAGTGTTCCGTCCGCCTTCTCAGCCTCTCCTTGTAGTTTGTTATCAGTTGCTGATGTCAATTTGTTGACTTCACTGTTAGTCTGAGGTTGGAAATTTTTTTTGGTTGTAAAACTGTGGCAGATGCACACTGTGTGAGCAACCCTTAGGGCAAGTATACAAAATTGACAGCCCACACTTTCAGAATGAGTTATCTCTGCACTTGGGTAGATTCAAAAGTCTATAAAGATTCTGATCTGTTGGTATCGCAAAGAATCGTGATGTAGGCAAGGAAAATCAGCAAAAAATCGGGGCTAGGGACCATTCAGTTTATCGATTAACTGGCAACTACGTATCCAAGTGACAACTGTAACATCAGGCGGGAGTTCGATCGACTCAGTTTGATCTTTCTTTCCGGTGGAAAGTTTGTGTAAAAAAATATCGTTGCGGTGTTCCCCAATGTTCTTACATTCTTCAACCCCGTAGAGAGTTTATCCACCAGGAAAGACCAGAATATTGAGCCCCTGTGATAGACCCGCTCGGGTGTTGGGGCAAGTCTGGTGGGAGAATTTTTTCGGCTCACGGATTCTGTCACTCTTGGGAAGTGCGATGGCTGATATCATGTCACGTCGCCTAGATAGGTGTACTCTAGCTGAATTTCAGGATGTCACTTGGTCTGCGATTTGTCCTCAGGGTCAACTCGTCACCTGGTCAGTTTGGTTTGGTGTACTTTCAGCTGATGGTTTTCTTAGCGATAATTTATTTTTTTAGAGGCAGTTGACAGATAAGCGGCATCGTGTCCGACCCGCGATGGAACTGTTGCTACGACTGGACAAACTGCACAGAAGGCGGCAGTCGTTGCACCGAGAACCGTACTTTGTTCACTTCTTGATTATGTGTTCGCATTCCAATGTTACACGATGGTCGCCATGCGTTCTCGCCAATGAACCAGACTGGGTCGTGTGATGCCCCCCAGTTATTTCTCTCCGACCGGCTTACGGTCGTTTACACTTGGCTATGCACTCCGTCACACCACACAGGCTGTTTTCGTTTTTAAGCGATTTGACCTCCTGATGCCGACCAAATCATACCTGGTTTGTATGCACCATACGAAAACACGTCAGTTTGTTAGTACTCACGTTGCTAACTGCCGCACTGTATGGAACTTGAATGTTAGGGATGTGGTAGGGTATTTGTCACATAGTCTAGAAACACGTTAGTAATGCCACTGCAAAGTAAATTTAATGCCGTATCGTATATCCCACCGCAACGTTTCTCACATCGCCTCACAACGCGACAGACAAACCAGGACTACAAGAACCACTTTGCTGCATGGTATTCGTGCCGTTTTGTTCGCCGGTATCAAGCCAACTACTGCATAGTTGATACATTTGTCGTGAGAACAGTCCTCTATCTGGAGTCTTTCTTCGGCTGGAAGTTGTGCAAGTTTCGGATGCTCGTGGTGTGCGTGCGATCATCATCAACACAGACGTCACGGCGCTTCGCTGCTTTTAGAAAGTAGCACAAAAGAGAGAAAGGAACCCCTGCCGGTCTACCACGAGCAGCTACATTTTAGACAATCTGAGAAGCCGGTTGTTCGAACTTTTGCTTTATACTCGTCAGTGCTAAGTCAATGGTTGACCATTTCCAACCATTATTATGGACCTACCCAATTAGGTGATCACTAAAGCCGAATCATGTAGCGCAGACGAATATGTTCCTCGTTTTCCCTCCCTTGCATCATTCTTTGTTATCCCTCTAAGTGCAACTTAGCATCTTGAGGTCGCACTCTGCCTTGATTTCTATGAACTGTTCTCCCTTCCCTTCACCCACCGAAGCTTGGCCTCAGTCTCTGTTCCGATTGCTTTTGGTCTCTTCCCCCCTGCAGAACACCAGTGTCCTGTTTCCCGTCTGGCCGCTGTTATTAATAGTCGGCTCAGCTGTCTTCGTGTTTGTGCGGTCCCCGAGCCAAGTCTACATGCATCACCCTTGCTTATTTCTCATGTGCTTTGGCGCTGTGATGGCGAAAATTTCGCAAAATCTCGTGGTTAGTTTGACCTAACTGTTACTTATCTGTTCTCGTCATCCTCAGCATTCTTTGTGTAGCTGGGCCCCCATGTGGGCATAGACTGTAGGTCACTTAAGTCGGAGAGTTGTCGATCGCTTCGTTCCCGACACACAGTTTGCAGTAGAAAGTAGTTTCTCCTTTTTTGTGCAAACCTAGTGTTGGGTTGTTGCGATTCAAACTTAATACGTTCACAGTGTATCGACTTGTCACTACAAGAATCACTGTTATGGAACTCTCGAGTTTTCTACCATTGATTCAAACACATCGCACAGGATATTAGCCAACCGAATGGTACATATGCCGCGTACTTTGGATCGTGTTTATCACACAATCTCTACAAATTGTCAACATGGTTAGCACAGAACCATCAGAGTAGCTGCTCTGTTCGGGTAATCGAACAGACGTGTCGACATCCTTTGATCTTATGATAAGTTTCACTTGAACCCTAGGACAGGAGCATTTTAAGAAGTGAGCCGGTTCTGTCAGGTTGCTTGAAATGTGTCGTAATTAATTTGCACTTTTTGAAGATTCGTTGAGGGGTATCTGGAACCTCCTCTGGGGCAATTACTCCTCTTGATTGACCGGTTTTAATCATCCTAATTTACCAACAACTGCTTGCGTTCTTTCGGTAACAACGGATAGAAGACAAATCCACCCCAATAGCACTGAATTCATTGGTTTCATTTATTAGTTTGTAGTTTGATTCTACTATAACAGCCGAATCCCATGCAACATCAGTCCCTCTGGAGCGAGAAGGGCCAAGTGGTTAGAGGGCGAATTTACCGACCAGAAGGTCCATGTTCCGAACCCGACCTTTGCCTCTCGACTTCCCTTCGCAAGGCTTGGGCACTCTGGAACTATCCCAGCCCTCGTGCTTCTCTTGGATAGCATGCTACTACAGTTGAACGATTGATCTCTCCCTCTGGAGCAACGGTTTACAACCGATGTTGTCGGCAACAGTCGCTGTGTGGATGCCAGTGGCATCCTGAAGCACCACAACTTCAAGCAGAGTTGATACTCGGATAAATGTGCCATAATATCAAGCTGCAAATTGTGTTTCTGGTCTTGAATAATTCGAGGAGTCTGCTGCAGATTTCGATACAGTTAACCAATGCACTGTCTGACGGTTGTAAAATTCGCCGTGATGGCACGACATGTGGATTTAGGTTTGGTGGAATGGCCACTCAAAAACGGGCCCCCTTCGCCTTAAATGTCCGTTTCGGAAAAGGATAGACCATTAGCCTAATGGAATGTCAGCGAAACCTTACAGCTCCGGGAAAGATTGTGGGACAATACAACCCCCAAAAAACTCGCAGGGTAGTTCGTTCGTTAGAAAGTATATCTTTAGACATACAAACGCTGATACCATAAGGCAGGAGGATCGGATAATTGACCGGTCGACTAGGTCGATGAAACTATTTCAGCTGTTTCAACTGTTTCACGCCACTGAACATAAGGAGTATTCCGACAGTGCTGGGCATGCCCCGGACGGCTAAGCGATGCAAGACACTGAACACCCCTAGAATCGATCAAAACAAGCATCTTGTGGGATGGATTCTTTCTTTGCACTCAGGTGACTGGTTGCCACCAAGTGTTACTTCACAAACACAGGCTTACCTCTTTCCAAATTTCCCCAAGTTTACACTCAACTTGAGCTACAAGAGTACTGCAGAGTACTCTGCTGAGTGAGCTACCACGATGGCTCTTTAATATGCATTTTTTTCCAAACCCAGTCAAACGGTATCTTCGAGTAATACCAGAACCTCCGAGAAGGCAAAACAAAGTCAGAGCTGGGTTCCCATACGGTACTATTAATGTAAGGCATCAATTCACAACATATACAAACCTCAACAGTACATACTCGTCCACAATGTTCCACGTGGACCATAAAAGTACGATCCAAGTGAGCAAACAGACTCTCACGTGAGACACCCACATGTTCGCAAGGTCGGCCACAAAATGGCTAGATGACCTCAAGGTCAAATGAGTGAGGTGGCAGGGACAATCAAACAGACCCACTAAACACAAAAGTAGAGCGGCGGTCACAAATAGGGGCAGAAAAAACGTGAGGAATTTCAATTGTCAAAGTAATGGACGCTACGACCTTCATCTTCCTCCATCCACCATTGTTCATGAGACTGATTTCGATACACCCGCCCGACTATCTCCGCTTAATACCAACAGCACAGAAAGTGCACTCAAGGTATACCCTCAATCAAGCACACCAAGAGAACCGTTTGATACTCTCTTCCTAGTCCATTGTAACCCGTCGTTTAGATCGGTTCCATAGCATTTGGGTCGCAAAGAATCCTGAATGCGCGTCAAGCTGCTGCAGTTACCGCGGTAGAATGCGCGGCGTTATCAAACCTTCGAGTTGAACTGGCTGCAGCAGGATGAAAATAGGTTTTTCATTGATGCGCCCTGCAATTAGCAGTCGTTGTTCTGTGAAACACGGTGCCTATATAGGTTTCGTTTCCAAGTAAGACTTGCTTACTAGTTGCCCACCTATCTGTGAAGATTCGGAAACAAGCTATAACGCTCAGATGCTTGTTACACCAAATATGCGTGCAATCAACTCCTGACGGATGAGTTTTGTTGTCACTGGACAAGATAGGTTTAGAATCCTGCATCAGTAATCGAATTCGTCTCTCTCCTAAACAAAACACGCCCGGACGTAATCATTCGTTCACCGTGGTTTATCTTTGTGATGCCTGCTTTTGATCACGCTTTCTATCCTTCGTCAGATTTCGGGGGCGACATTGCTCAGTGGTTGGAACGCAAATTTATTTACCGTAAGGCCCGTGGTTCGAACCCGGCCTCCGCCTCTCGACTTCCCCTGTCTGGGCTTGGGCAACCTGGCAGTATTCCAGCCCTCGTGCTTCCTTTGGGTGGCATGACAACTAGATGCTGAAAGGGTATTTGAGGTGATTAGATTTCCATGAGTTATTTTGTGAAGCAAAGCTTCACGATTAATCATCGTTAGGCTATTGAAATTGCAACAGATTATGTTCCGTTAAAGTATCTGGTATGAACCCACTGAATTAGGTGCGCCAAAGACCAGCTTTCATCCGTTGTCTCTCCGAGCGTCCACAACACGCATACGCTCACCCATTAAACTCCGTTTTCCCGAGTAATTTTAAAAAAAATCGTTCAGCTGTATCACCCTTTCGATGCCTAGTTACCGTGCCACCCGAAGGAAGCACGAAGACTGGGATACTGCCAAGTTGCCCAAGCCTAGACAGGGGGGGGGGTCGAGAGGCAGAGGTCCGGTTCGAATCATGGACCTTCCGGTCAGTAAATTCGCGACTTATTTAATTTGATTTTTTGGCAACTTTCTGGGATTCCCACGACAGTAGTACTTTTCCAGGCTTTGGCAGGAACTGATCAATAATGCAGACACTGCAAGATATTGTTGCCAGTCGGTGTCATTGGCATTCTTGTTGCAGTTTCTATCCATTATGCCTGAATGAGTGTCTGGAGGTGGAGGCACCTCGGAATGATTGTGGAAAGCTAGCACTAAGTCCCTTTCCCGTCCACCCTTACTCTTTTCGTCACAATAAGGCTTTCAAATAAATCATGGCTGTACGGTAGTGAAGCATCGGTGTTAAACACTGATGTCATGCTGTCGATGATGGTGATGATGATGATGATCAAGAATGCGGTTCCTCACAATTGCTGCCACTGTGTAATTCTGTTGGTTGTGGCCACAACCCCGCAACCAAACTAAAGCTGAATATGTGTGTGTGTGTGTGAATCCGAAGGAATCGGCCATTTGTTCCTTTTACCCCGTCCTTCGTGATCGAATTTGTAAAATGTGTAGCCAATCTCCCCAAATTTGTGGGTTTTCAGAGCGGCATGCTGTTCGTCTGTTCAGCATTTCACATGTCAGACTTTTTGGTTGGTATGCGAAATAATGTCACCATCCCGCGGAACATTTTCTTCTGATATCACTAGTCAAAGCATAGGAATCAAATCGTTCAGCTGTAACACCCTTTCGGTGCCTAACTGCCACGCCATCCGAAGGTCGCACGAGGGCTGGGATACTGGCAGGTTGCCCAAGCCTAGACAGGGGAAGTCGAGAGGCAGAGGTCGGATTTGAAGAGCGGACCTTCCGGTCAGTAAATTCGCGCTCTAACCACTTGAACCATAGGAATCAAGTTGGAGATCATCGTTCAAAGGACAGTCTGGTATCGTTGGGCTTACATCCCTAGTGGCCTCGATCGGAACCGAGCACCCGAAGAGCCCATGCTATTTTTAGGGTATATATGTATAAATGACAGCTGTTCATGTAGAAATGAAGAGGTGGTGCCTGATATCTTCTGCGGTTATTTTCAAAGCCCGTGGTTGAGGTCCGCACAACGTTCACCACTTTCGACATACAATCCATGAGGGAGCATCCTGTGTACACGATATTCCCTTTCACAGTCCGGTGTCTCTTACTAATCTGTTGGGTCTTCATTAAATCTATTGCGATGCGTTAAACCCACTGCCCCACTCTCCTTCTCCTTGCAGATTGCCCACATGACGAAAACCGGCATCAGACGGTTTGATACGGTGATGCTTGGGCCGCTGTCTCTACTTGTCAACCTATACTTTGACTGCCCAGTCAACGAACATTGGTTACTATGGGCGGCCTGTGTGAGTTCCTGTTCTACTGCTCACTTTGAGAATCGTGGTCCCATATTCATGGCGTTTGATCCCAGTTGTTATTGGTTGTTATACATGAGATAGTAAATGGTGGTTAAGGCACAAACTTACTGACCGGTAGGTTCTTGGTGTGAATCCAACCCCAGATCCTCAGTGGCTCCTGTCTAGGCTTCTACAAGCTAGCAGTATCTCGTCCCTCGCGCTTTCTTCCGGTGGCACAGCGGCTATGCACCGTAGCTGCGTTTTCATGCAGCTCACTGCATCAAACAGTCTGCTGGGATCCAAATGCGCTGAGTTGTTGCTCTAATATGGAGTGTCGACAACGTTCTTTTCGTTGATCGGATTATGGAAAAAAATCGCTGTCAACTCAGCCAACAAGCTTTTTCCTCGTCCTCATCAACGCAGACCAGCCGAACACTAATAACATTGGTTATCAGCTCTGTTCTGTGACGTTTCTGTACTCGTCGCCAAGTTAATACACCTAGGCTGTCAGACCGCCGGTACGCGCCTGAAATAGACGAATTGTGAACCAGCTTGCTTGACCTCATCAAGAAAGGGATCCTTTGGCCTTGTCACGGCAGATTGTCTGTGTTCCTTTGAACTACTTCGATCCTTAGACATAGGAAAGTTGTCTGTGTTTGACCACTGGTTCCTCCCAAGCATTGACTGGCTCTGTTGGGAGACGTCGGATCACTAGTTGGTTCTCGGGAAAAGGAACTCTCTCACGATAGATGACTTACCTACGTTTCATCGGTTACGCTGGTTAGGATATGCACTTCGTATACCAGACCATCGTCTGCCTTGTACAGCTCTTTTTTTCCCAACCCCTTACTGATTGGAAGCGACCGCGAGGCGGACAACCTTTGACTTGACAACTAAGAATGGGAACACGCATCCCAACGGACCTACATGATATTGGAAAAAGCAGTTAGGTGTTACGACATGGAAAGCCAGAGTACACACTACTCGCCAGGGAATTCACACAGTCCAAGAAGTTGGGCTCCCCTCAGAACAGTCACTTTTGGTTGATTCCATGAGGCTTCCGACAAATAGCATGACAAATTGCAGCGTGTCCACATCTTGACATCAGCGGTTTGCAATACACTCATTCAGTCGACGGCATATATCTTCAGTGGGGGGCGAGATGGTCCAAGAGTTAGAGTGGCGAATTTACTGACTGGAAGGTCCGTGGTTCGAACCCGGCCTCTGCCTCTCGACTTCTGTCTAGGTTTGGGGAACTAGGCCGTATCCCAGCACCCATGCTTCTTTCGGGTGGCATGGCAGCTTGGCGCCGGAAGGGTGTTACCGCTGAGCGATACAATATATCCTCAGTCTGCCTCCTTACAACACTCGACTACTCAGCTGAACGTTAAATTGGTTTGGTGGGAAGCTTTTCGGTAAACAAACCCTACAGATAACCTGCATATTGAACTGAAACTCAGTTCGAAAGGAGGCTACATACACCTGTTTCATCCCTGGTGGGAATCATCACCACAGTGCGCACCGCATAAATCTCCGGAGAGTTTAGATCCTGCGAATTCCCGATTAGTTTTTGGCCACTGGTTTTGCTCAGTTGAATCTACCACTGTCCTTCAGTTATCCCGTTTGTGTCACGTGAGTTGTTGCTGACTGGGCGTTAGCCTGACGAATTCTCGGATGGAAGGCAAAATAAAGCATCCAGTACATTTCCTTGTAGCAACAGGACGCCCAAGTTAACCTCAGTATCTTGGTATATTCTGCCAAAAACAACAGAATCTGCGGTAACGGCTTCTGCTTGTATCAGGGATAAACATACATCCCGGTCGCACGGCGAAGGGAATACAGACCAAGTGCGACCATTCATTGAGTTATCGGAATGTTGGGTCCCGTTTCACTCGTTTCATCTTGCACCGATCGCAATTCAGGTCCTAAACTGTGCGTACTGATGCAGGCTGTTAACTCAAGTCAACAGTGACTACAAGGGTCACACAACTTCAAAAGTCCGTCTTTTCAGAAATTTCTCATTTATTTTTAATATCATAGAATGGAGCGGTGCAGCGCCATGCTTCCTCTTTCCTCTTCTTACTATTGTTTGCTTTCAACCGATGTGGCATGAGAGTATTGTTAGTTGTAAGTGCTTGCTTTCAAAGTCACCCTCAACTTCCTCTTCAAAGTACTAACCCTCACCTGCGCTGGATCAGCTGCAAGAGGTATTGAAGAGCAATCACGCCTTATGTAGCCACGTGACGTTTAGTGAAACGCTAGTGAAACGCGTGGCGTGATCAAACAACGTGCAAAGAGCAGTTGAGCTTACCAGGTGTGCTCCACACTGGTATTTTGACTGATTTAACCGCCAAGTCCTTTGGATTTTATCCTCGTGCTATCTTATTTCAAGAACAGCAAGTTTTACCAGGCTTCGAGAATGCGTGGTTGATTACCCGATCCGTCGGTGCTGAACCCGGTTGTTTTCACTTTTATCCATGTGGGTTCATTGTCGCCAAACTGAATTTCTTTCAGTTGCTCCTCTTCCTAAACTTTCTTAACTGCCGGGTTCACGTCCTGGTTGTGTGTGTATGTGTGTAAATACGGGGGCGAGATGGCGCAAGTGGTTGGAACGCGAATTTACTGACCGGAAGGTCCGTGGTTCGAACCCGACCTCTGCCTCTCGACTTCTCCTGTCTAGGCTTGAGCAACCTGGCAGTATCCCAGCTCTTGTACAACCTTTGGGTGGCATGGCAGTATGTAAATACCATGCGGTCACGCTGTTTCGATTGCTTTGTAAGCCTGTGCTGCAAAGAAACAGTATGGAACTAGTGGCGGGAATTCAACGTCATCTGCAAATCTTCCTTTTTGCTAATCGGGCCCGGATCTGTGCGCTTTTGTGATCGTTCCACGAATAGCCGTAATTGTGTGTTCGTTTCTATCCCACTGTAATAGGACGCCCAGTGCACCATGGTATTGGTTCTTCGTGCTGTAAGAGCTAGCGTAGGTTTGAGGCGGTGTGCGTTCACACACCAAACCCACAGGTGACTACCAAGTGACCATCTTTCCGCTGGACGACTCAACCTATAAACATTCAACAATCGCATCTTGGATCCGCACTTCCAATGAACTGCAAACGTCAATTGAATTCGTATTCAACCTACTTGTGGATTTCTCCTCTGGGTCAGACCGTTACATCCAGCTATTGAGCATGCCCAGAGGTTACATCGTTCGAATAGAGGTTCACCAGCGAGTGCGAAACTGCGTATGCAATAATAAAATTGGTACAAACCTCAAAACATGGGTTTCTATAGGTGGGGTCAGGCAGCGTCTGTTGGAATGAGGATCCTAGACAAATTCAGTAGGGGAAAACAATAGGCCTACCCAAAGGCACATGATCAAATCAGAAGGTTCACAAGACTGAAAGACCCACGTGACCCTATCGAGACTATGAGGTGGCTAACGAGTGGTTCGCGTTCAGGTCAAAGGTAGGTATAACATGGAACCCCCCAAAAAGAGCAATTACGATGAGGAAGAACATCAAATTCTGTCAGGTTGTTGTGACATTTCGGGTAGATGCTTGATGCGAAAACTATATACTCCATGGCCTACGCGGACCCTTTTTCAGTTAGTCACCTGCATGTTGTTGCGTTTGGGCGTGATGGTTCATCTTAACTGAGGCACATCGAGGGACGCCTGACGGGTCACAGTGTCACTGTGGGACGGAATTTCAGCAACCGTGAGGTTTATTCTTCATGTATCACACATTGGTCTTCAAGCATGTGGGTGTACCAGTGTTGTACTTGTGACGGGTAAACAAAAGTCAGTGGCCTCGGAGGATCCAGAGGATGTCGTGACGGGGTCTATACGGCGCCGTTCAAACTGTCTCTGCAGTGTGATTACCAATGCTTCGGCAAATAAATGCTTCGGCTAATAAAATATCTACTGAAAGGAAATTGGTATCTAAATGTGATCTGAACGTTACCGACATATACAGGAAAGAACCGATCCCGCATTCTTTCGGGCGATTGTTTACCAAGCTCTTCTGAAATTTTCTTGTTAGATTTAATCTGTAATTTAGCACGTCCAAAAATGTCACCCTGCGGCCAACAGCTTTGCCAGGTGATAGTGGATTTCAGTTTCATATAAAGTTTTATCGCTGTAGAAAGATTACTAACCGAATGCATTTAGACAAACATGAGAAAAGTTGTTGAAGTACTGTCCTTCTAGTCCGTTGTGTTGCGGTTGTATTCGTTCTCGTTGTAGTGTGACAGATAAGGTCAATGCACGGATCCGCAAGGCCTGGGCCGTGTTTGCTAATTTGAGACACCTATGGCGTCAGAGTGGTGTATCCCTGAATCTGAAGGGACGTGTGTATCAAGTTACCGTACGGGCTGTTTTGTTGTATGGCTGTGAGACTTGGCCTATTCGAGCAACGGAACTGAGATGCCTTCTGGTGTTCAACAGTCGTTGTCTCAGAACCATAGCTCGCGTGGGTTGGTATCGGTGTGTGCGTAATGAGGTAGTCAGAAAGCGTGTTTTCAGTTGTGCAACGGGTACTTCCATTGAAGAATGTGTCCAGCACCAGAAGCTGCGTTAGTTGGGATATGTGTTGTGTATGCTTAGCCATCGTTTGCCGAAGAGAATGCTGTTTTCCATGCCCAACTCAGAGTGGCGTAAACAGAGAACTATTGATTGCGTTTACTGGTGGTTGATCAGATGGTCATTGATCTGTTCGACGAGATTGACAGAGGAGTATGAAGGAGATCACGAAACGCTTCGGTGCTGTCGGTGCTACTTGCCTTTCAGGATGGGGACCGCGTGATCCCCAGTGCGCCTGGTTGGAGACACTACAAGATATGGCTGCCAATCGATGTCAGTGGCGTTCTTGTTGTCAATTTTTATCCAGATCGCCTGAGTGAATGTCTGGAGGTGTAGGCACCTGGGAATGGTAGTGTTAAGCTAGCACTAAATCCCTCCCCCATCCACCTTTACTCTTTTCTTCACAATAAGGCTTCTAAATAAATCAT